TTTAGCTTCTGAGTCAGTATATTTAAAAACATCTCGGTACCATGCATTCGAATTAGTGTAAGACAGGAAAGGGAAGCATTTATGTACAGCTTCAATGATCACATCTTTTTCTTCCGGAAATTTAGAAATCTTGATCGTACCTGAAAGATGATTATCAGCATTTTCGATTTGTGAAAATTCAGAGGGTTTTAAATTCATCCAAGGATCGAGGCCAGTTTCATTTTTATATCTTTTATATAATTTGAAACGAATTTTATCCGTTAAAACATCAATTAATTCAGCTTGCCATTCCAGAAATTCGGGTGTTAATATTTTTTCAGACTTGGTTTGTGTATTCATGTTGCCGTTTTATATGATTACAAACCAATTTAATTCTCCGCATCAGGTATCAAAAAAATGTGTCTTATTTCGGGAGAAATGGCACGAAGTGCCTGTCACTAGCTCCAATATTAAATAAATATACTATTTCAATAGATCTGCTTCTCACATTAATATTTATTGTATAGTAATAAGAAAGCGTAAACAGATAAAATTATACAATTATTTTGGCGTAAGCTGGTATAATAATGTCGATTCCAGATGCTTCACATTTAATATAGTAAGATCCATCTTTATATTCTCCATTTATACCATTCTCTTCCTCATGATTTAACTTACATATTGGACATGGCGATTCAGCATTAACCCCATAATAATCAATATTTTTTTTGGTCCTATATTCATAATATAAGTCAGGACATTGCTCCAATATTTTGTTGCGGAAATTAGCATGGGCGTGAACTGGAATGGATGAAGATACAGATGATGCACTTATCTCAGTATTCGATGAAGATTTGTTATCCTCACTTATCTCATTTCCTGAATTAGAGGTATGCAATGGTTGAATAGAGGGGACAGATGTTTCTGAGCTGGGAGAATCGGTAATAGAATTTTGGCAGGGGGCCCCGGCTAAAATTTCTGAAGACACATCCTTTTGCATCTTTGGAACCTGTTCAGTAAAACTATCTATAATTTCTCGAATTTTATCATTCGTTAACTCTGAAATAGAATTCGCACTATAAGTCATAATATACTTAATATTGTCTATACCTAAGTTTTCAAATAATTTGTATATTTTTACAGCTTTCTGAGTTTTTCCTTGTGAAATTTCTGGGAGTTATAAACCTGTGTCTTCAGATCTCTTTTTACGGAGAATGGAAAGATGTTCTAATATTTTGTCATAGATTATTCTCTTTGCCTTTTCTTCACCGATTTTGCCTTTACCATCTTGTATACCCACTCTAACCTGAATTAAGAATCCCTCTCCATAATGATACCAGCGTAAAATCTCTTCCTGATTAGCATGAATTGTACCATATTCAGCATCGGTTGCTTTATCGAATAATTGAGCTAAAGAAAGCAATGGAACTGTAGATGAATCTTGGCATGGAGATCCAGCTGGATTCTCATCGCAAGGAGTTATTTTGACTCCTGATTGGACATCATCCTGAATGCCGTCAGCTATCAATTGTACGATTTTTACTGCACCTTTCTTTCTATGAGAATTTTGGCAAGGGGTCCCAGCTGAAATTTCAGACTTTCTGAATTCAGCGTTCCTGGATATTGAAGTTAAAGGAACCGATACCTCAGATACCACCTCTTCTGATGAAGAAATGTCTGAAGATAAGTTTTGATCTCGAAGTTTCTTCTTCCTAATTCTCTCCATTATCTCTTTACTGACCTGTTCCTTATACATTGAATCCAGAAATTCATTCTCTTCTTTCTCTTCCATTGATATGGTTTTCGCGGGAATAGGAGGTGTGGGGGTCACCGATTCTTGGTATAAATCATAATTGCCAAATGTAGTCACGAAGTGAGTAGATATGTTAGACTCCTCATTATGTGAGATTATCTGTTCATGAGTATCGTTAGAATTTAAAGTGTTATCAGTTATATTAGATATCGGGATATTCTCGCATTGTAAGACTGTCTGTTCGGGTGTATCATTGCTGGAGGCAGACACAAAGTGGTTAGAATTTATCGAAGATTGTGAAACGTCTTTTGTAGAAAGTGCATTTTGTGTATCAATGACAATTTGATGACACTCTGTGTTCTTGTCCCGCATGCTCTGTTCCTTGATTAATGAGACATTGTGTTGCAATTTAGTAATAAGGATGGACTTCTCTTTGTCCTTCTGCTCTAATTCCACAAATCTGAGCTCGATTTTTTCTTTATCTTGTTTTAATTTTATATTCTCAATCTTGACCTTGGCAAACTTCTTTCTAAGTTCAGTGATCTGGCGATCGAGATCAGAATTTAATTCCTTCAATGAATCAATTGTGGATTGTGGATTTCCCATTGTTTTGTATAAGATACGAATATATTTAAATAAAAAAATACATGTCTCATCTTTTTATAAAATACTTAAATATTCAAATAATCATACAAAAACATTAGCGTTATGCGTGTCAATTTGTCACACCAATCACTTTTGCCAAGAAAATTATTTCGGAAAAATTCTCGATCATATATACATTACACAAAAAATAATATATGATACGTTATACGTTTCTCTAACTAAAACTTTATTAATAAAATATACAGGATAAAAATATATAATAAAAATACAGGAATCAGGAATAAAATTAAGTACGTAATGGTGAAGTAACAGTGGGGCTTTGTTGTGCATTTCTTGGAGGACGTGCATTGGCTTGTTCTAAAGCTTGCATAAGTAAATTTTAGTTTACGATTATGGTGTTTCTAAATATTAAAAGTAAATGAACAAGGGGTTCCACGCGCCATGGAGTATTTTTTACAAAAGGCATTTCAGCCTGATCCAAATGGAAATATCTAGGTATTCCACTCGCGTCTTTTATTAAGACATTTAAAAATAATTCTTCACCAGCTACTTGAATCCCAACGATATCAAATTGATTACTTGCTGGTCTGCAAGTATTCCCTATAAAACTTATTCCATCTAAAGTTTCCCTCTACAATTTTACGGAATCATCATCTTTTTTCGATTTAGTACAAATAACCCAAGATGATTCAACGTAAGTAAGCTCAAAAACCTTACCTCTATATTTTGTCATAACCATAACATCCAGCTTTTTTCTTATTAAATTTTTTTGTATAGATCTTTCTTCATTAGAGTTAGAGCTTCTTCGAGTTTTGCTTGCTATACTTTGTCATTTAGCTGTACTCAAAAATATGATACCACTGGGGAGATCTTCTAAGCTAGCTCGTTGTAAAGGTACAATAATATCTGTAACATATGTACCCTTACTTTGAGTATTCCGCATTTCACTGGTAGCAAATGCAGGATTATTCCATATACCCCTACTACAAAATGATATTAAAATACTGATTTCATCGACAAAATTTACTGAAAATACTTACATAGTATTTAATATACGATCTGTATATTCTAATAACTTTGATTCATTCTCTTTCCACTCTTTATTATGCACAATATTCCTGATTGTATCTGAAAAGCTGATGCTATTAAAATCGTTTATGAACTTATTACATTTTGAACTAATCGAAGATAGAGAAGCACATTTCATATTTTCACGTAGCTTGAGAAAAAATTGTTTCTGTCTTGGCCCTAAATTTTTCACAAGTACGGAATCATCAGCAATGATTATATTTGCTTCGGGATCACGCCAAGTAAGTTCAGAGGGATCGATGGAATTTAAATTTATTTTGAGACCGTCGTAAAGGGATGTATCATTATCTGCTAGCGGGGCACCAAGTTTCATTTTTAGCGTTCTTAAATTTCGATCAATCTCTTCTCTTGAATGATCAAGTACAATATTTGGTTCCGAATTTAAGCCCTTTACAGTATTTAACCCTACAATATTTTTATAAATAATATCTGTCTATAGCAAATGCAAAAATAAATTGTGTATACAGTTAATATATACCTCCCCATGAAATAAAATTAATTTTATATACACGTGCTTGCACTGGTCGAAAATCAGATATCATTAATATAATAATTTTCTATTCTACATATTATGCATAATTAGGGGGTAACAGAAATCTTCAACAATCATGAGAAAAATTTCTGACAATGTCACTCTTCCGAGTCAGCGTCCTTAACCTTTTAGCAATAGTATGTAAAATATACTAAATAGCATTTGCTATAAACTCATCATTAATAACTATTTTTATAACTGCAAATAAGTAAATGATTTATAAACCTGTGTTAATACTTCTAGGACTTTCATTCTTCGCTCAAAATCAGTTATCTTATCCAATGAAGAATTCACTGTACGCTCTGCAAAATTTTTAATATCGTTTAATGGCAATATAGTTGTTCCTTTTCTCGTCAAATAAATAATTGTAGCAAAACATATAGCTTCAAGAGATCCTTCTAAAAAAAGTGTTTCAATTTTTGAAATTAAGATTGACATATTGGAAATGAAAAATTTAATTATATATGAGTAATGGTAAATTAAAATTGTAAAAAGACGTAACTAAAGCTTCTATCAACATCACTATACTCTCCTTTTAACACGTCTCATTATTTTCTTTTTAGTATCTCGACTTATAGATTAAGAAAGAAACCAGCATATGCATGAGAACAAAGAATATGTATATGTTCCATGGTAAGATACTTGGATATAGGTAAAAAATCCACTATACTTTTCTTTTAGTGCTTTTTGTTATTTCTTTCATATTTCACCGAAGAATAGATTAGGAAAAAGATAACGTATGCACAAGAACAAAGGGTATGTATATATCTCGAGTCAATTATTCAAACCAGGTTACAGTTATCCCTATTTGTAAAAAGTACAACATATCAGATTAGTTTTGTGATAAATATAAATAGGGAAGTAGTAAAGCTAATAAAAGTATAAAAAGTAATGTTATATATCTGCTTTTTCACATAGATATGCAGATGTAAGGGGTACTAATTAAATTTGGTAATCAATATATCGCATGATCAAATTTCTGAAGGCAGTCACACAGTAGCTATGCATGTATTTTCTATTACATTCGAATTCCTTCTATGGTACATATCATATGATAGGTTAATTATTTTAGCGAATATACCAAGTTACACAAATTATTAGGCCCTATAGGCCATTTCTCTGAAATACTTACTATAAACTGAAGAGGTGGAACCTTATTGCTTTGCAATAAATATATTGTGATAAAATTACGTGTTAATAACCATAGTTAAAAATGGTTCGTTGTTGACATCTGCTCATGTTAAAAATCTCACAACTATTTACCAATGCAATTTATTATACATGTCATCAAAACTCAAATCCCATTGACTCAATTAATAGAATTTTTTATGGTGACGCAATATATGTGACGCATGATGCAATTGCTGACGCATGACGCAATTGTTGACGCATGACGTAATTGCTAACACATGACGCAATTTTTGATGCATGACGCAATTATCGACGCAAGACGCAATGTAGACGCAAGACGCAATTGTTGACGCATGATAAAAATGTCGACGCATGACGCAATGTAGACGCATGATGTAAATGCTGACGCATTACGTAAATGCTGACGCAAGACGCAAATGCTGACGCAAGACACAAATGCTGACGCAAGATGCTATTGCTAACACATGAAAATTTCTGACTCATCACATGATACAATTGTTAACTTATGTTTGATT